ACTGTTGACTTTAACCATTATTATGAACACAAAAATTAATATCTATACTTTCTTCTGCACAACCCCAAAAATCATAGAAGAAAACTTGAAGTGTACTTAGTTAACTGAACTCTAACACACTAGCAAATGCCAAAATACTCAGCATATACTTCAGTAAATGGAAAAGCAGCCTTATTCCTGTATTCAGTTATAAAGAATTTAAACTAAAGCACTGCGACGATAGTTTCATTAATCTCTCCAAAAACAAACTGCTCCCCAGCCCGATCACGGCCTGTCATTGTGTAACCTACCCCAAGGAGGACGCATCCACACAGCAATAGGCAGGCTTCTGGCATGAGCTTTCCCAGAAGATTTACACAGGCCAAAATAACAGGGAAAGAGGCATGACGCATCCTGAAATTAAACTATTACAACTAACTTGTCAGGGACAACCTTTACATTCTTTAGTACATTTCTCTCTTAAAACTTTAACAACAAGAAACTGGTTACATTATTAAATAAAACACCTACTCATTTTCCACATCTCTCTGCTCTCCTGTGCCAAATTTTAACATAAATGGGTAGAATTAAATGTAGCCTATAGCTTACCTAACATAATTATATGTTGTGTTTTACACTGCTTCAAAACGGATACATTAAAATAATCCAGTCTTGGCTCCTGCCCACTAAAGTCAATAAAGGTTATTAAGGCCAACTGCCATATAAATGCATTGCTATTCCAGCACAAGGAACCGTCAGGACAGGAAATGCAATTCAAAACATTCAAAACCATCAGGATCTACTTTCCCTTCTAAAAGAAAAAACAATGAAAAAAGCATGAAGAAATTTCTCTCCAGTATATAAATCATTAGTATTTTTGAAAATGTTTATTCTGGAAACTATTCTAGAATATTTCCAGTGGATTATACCAAATTGACCCCTCCCCTTTTTTTAAGGTCAAAAGGAAATGAATAAATGTCATCAATTTAGAGGATTTCACACCTAGCATTCTTTTCTGTATCACTGTGAATTTGATAGTGTTAAAACATTTTTATAGGTAAAATAAATGTCAGTTTTGTGAAGAGCGATACCAGACCCTGAGAGACAAATGGCCTATCCATTGAATCTCTAGCTACAGCAAGACTTCCTCACCTCACAGGAGATTTCAGCTTTTTATATTTCTCTTTACCCAGAAAGCAAAGCTTGTATAGTTTCTTTCAAATGGTAACTCTCTCTTATCCTGAAGAGTCTCCTCATAATACAATAATCATGGATGGGGTGGGGGGGAGTAGTGGGTTGGTAAAAAATAAAATAAAATACAAATATTTGAATAGTATTATATTGTTATAATGCTTTCTTGAATAGGGAGCAAAGAGAAAGGAAAAGGCTAGGCTAAATTCCTGGGTTATAAGAAAGGGCTATGTTGCTTTGGGCTTAATGGCTCATAAATTCATGAGGTAATATTCAGGGAGAGTGTGATATTTTATCAGAATGTCATTCAAATATAAGGTTTAACATTTACATCACAAGAGCATGCACAGAGTAAAACTATCCTCAGGGAGAGAAATGGCAAGAATAAACAGTGTGGTAAAAAAAAAAAGGTGCTTGCTGGAACAGGAAATGGGAAGTAGAGGATGGGGAGTTTTAGAGACAGCTGACTAAACTTTTTGAAAAATGTGACTGGTTATGACATGTGAAGCAATTACCATTAATGGAAGAAAAGCGATTTCAAAGCTCATTTTTCATTCTTCTATATCCTTCCTGAGACTACACCTTCTAACCACAAAATGAAAAAAGAACACAAAGACAGAGAGAAATCACAGCACAAGTCTCTTCCCTGGTACAAGGGCCGTCAAAGGTTGCTTTAGTCATAAGCAAAAGGGGAAAAGGAATGCACATATTGCCTGAGGTTTTTAATTTTATTTTTTCACCAGAAGAGATCGATGCTATGTTGCAGAGCAGACAAAATGCAATGATTAAAGAAATCTTTCCACAACACATGATTTTACAATTCGAAAAACAGCATAAAAATAAAGAAGAATCATTTGTCTAAAATGATAATAATTTCAAGTAATATAGTCCCTGGAAACGAGGTAAGTACATTCAGAAATGCTGTTTCGATTAGTCTAATTCTATAGAATCCAAATGTGCACCAAACACTGCACTTTTTATGTTAAATTGCTGTTGAATTTGTTAACCCACAACTGATTTCCTGTGTTATGGAATCTTGGAGATTACAGCTAACTTGAAGCAACAGGGATAATTCTTGACAGTTAATGGTACATTTGTATGCATTTTCCTGAAAGGTTAGCATCTTGGGGGCCTCAAACTGGTAGCTCAACATTGCCCTCTACTGTTTGCAACTGAAAAAATAAAAAGTGGGCTGACACAAAGCAGGAATCTAACCAGCCAGTGTCAATTCAGCCCCGAATACACAAATAGCAGGTGGCACTGCACTAACAGAGCCACAGAACTATAGACCTTTCCAACAATTATTCTCCTGTCTCTTCCAATAGCAAAAATAAATTATTATGAATGTGGTAAAAGTCATTTTAAAAGGCTTGAAGCAATGCTTACATTTAATGTTGAAGGACCATCCCTTTTATCTTAGCCCAAACCTTCACTCTGTGGATAATGATCTTCCTGAGGCATGCTGAGGAGAGACACTGAGGCCACTGATTTCCCTCAGAACACATAGCAATGCCATACCAACTGCAAGGAAATGCATTCTGGAACATCTACAGGCTTACTCTTTTTTAAAGGATATTTTATACAAGAGTGAAAAAATAAATAGAAGATCGTCTACCTAACTAATGTGACACTGCAACCAAATAAAAAAATACATAAATATTACTAACATTTTAAAATGAATTTACATGGCAAGCTCACAATACCAAAGATTTTACTTAAAAAGAAAAACAAAATCTTAAACTAAAGCAATTACCATTCTTTTCTTTACAAAATCAGTAAGAGTTTCTTTCTTTTTTGTCCTCAAGCTCTAATTCACAGTTATCTGATTCCAATTTCTACGTTGAGCTGATGTCCCAGAGCCAAGGTTCATCAAGTAAAAAGGCTCTAACTCAAATGTAAATGGTCAAAATCAGAATAACACCATGGGTAAAAAAGTTTCCCTGAAACTGAAGCTGTCTTTATATTTGCATCCCATAAAAATGGAGAATATTCAACACAGTCTTAGTTTAGGAATAGAACAAACTAAGGAGATTTAGTCTCAGGCTTTTCATTGACTCCAATTCTATTTTACAATGCTCAGTTTTGCATTGATTTAGGTCTTTGGAGAAATCAATTTTTGTGATGCTATTAATACACTAAATGAAGGATTATAACATTCCTTCCCCAGGCATGTATCCACAAAAAGGCATGCTTTAAAGATTTGAGAAGATGTCTTAAAAGCAAGGACTTTTGGATTCTGACCCAGAATTTTAAACTGGGGCCTTTGGGTGGTGACTTGATATTTTCATTATTATAAAATAGGAATTAGGATAGATAGATCTTATGTTTAGTGTTCTTATAACAATAATAATAATAAATAAAAAGGCAAAAGAAAACTTCTGGAGGTTCATAGATTGCAGTGGTGGTTTCATTAATGTATAGTTGTCTCCAAACTCCTCAGGCTGTATACATTAAATATGTACAGCTTTTTGTACATCAATCACACATCCATAAAGTAGCTTTAAAAATAAAATAAAATAGGAATTAACAATAGCTATCCATTTTTATAGATTAGTTCATTGTTTCTAGCACATTTCAAATTCCACACAGTGGTACAATCTCCAGAGTATAGCAGGCTTTTATCACTTTTCCACTACATTCCAAATTCAACAGCTGGGAAGCAGAACAGTGAGGTGGTGAAGGGCAAGGACCCTAGTGTTCAAATCCCAGGGTCCCCACCTATTAGCTGTGTAACCTTGAGAAAATTCCATAAGCCCTTTGTGCTTCAGCCTCCTCATTCGTAAAATGGGGGAAAAACTATACCTACTTAGTGGGGTGTCATAAAAGTTACAGAAGTTATATAGAAAACCCGTAGAATAGTGCCTGACACTGAATAAGTAAATATCATGCAAGTATCTGCTGTATTACTTAACCCATTTACGTTACAACTTGATTCAAGACTTCCATATGGCTTCAACCTGCCTTCCAGTGGCATTTCCTACCACATTCTCCATTTCTTTGCTTTAGTCACACCTTACTTCTTCAATCTGGTCCTGTCTTCACAGTTCTTGGGGCCTAGTGTTCCTCCCCAAATGCACTAGGCAATCACACTACACTCCTCCCCATCCAAGGCTCCCAAAAGCTACACTTGCCATCCCACCACAGTCCCAGCCAGCTATGGTGGTCTGAATTTAATACTCCCTCTTCGATACTGTGATTTTTTTTTTTAAACCTCCATTACGGGACTTCATTTTAGCTAATGTAATACCTGGAGATATTTGTGCCCCTCTTCTTGTTAAACTGATCACAGTGACTGACAGTGGCTGAGAACACAAGCTCTGGAGCCAGACTGCCTGGGTTTCAATCTTGCTCTGCCTCTTTCTCAGTGACCTTGGATGAGAGAGGCACTTACTCTCCCTGTCCCTCAGTTTTCACATCCGTAAATTAAGGCTCATCATAAGCTCACCACATTTTTATACCTCTTAGCATTGTTGTATGAGTTTAAAAAGTTAATACCAGGAAAACACTTAGAATAGGGCCTACATATAGCTGGTACGTATAAAAATGCAAATACCTTTTAGATATTATACTGAATTGTTATCCTCTCATTGCCACTTCCTAGCATATGTCTAGCATGCTGCCTTATAACCAGAAAGCACTTAATCAGTGCTTTTTGAACTGAAATGAGGTTGTACTGACAAAATCCTGACTCTCCCCATTACCTTGCCAAGAATAACCTAACTCAGTAATTTGGAATAATTAAATACGTACTTGCCAATTCAAATTCGGCAGTGTAGGATTTACGTAACACAGTATCCCACAAAACACAACCCCAGACCTCAGGTACTTACCACACCTTCCATCTTCTTCCACAGTTCCTCCAGCTCGGCCATGGGTTGAAACCACCAATCAGTGCACTTTTTGTATCGATTGCCTTGAAACCAAAACTGTCTCAGCCACTCAAACTCAACCTATGGACCATAAGCACAAGGTAGTGGTTATAACGCCCTCGTGATGGCCAAGACAATGACTTCATCACTCAATTGCCCTCTAGTAATTGAACAGTTATAGGATGAGACAAGGTGACAGAGTTCCTTATATAATTTGGCATCTCCAGAACATTTCTGCGAAGCCCAGAAAAGAGTGATCCTAAAACTGAGGTACTCTTAGAAAGATAGCCAAGCTCAAGCTAGGGAATAGTTTTCCATCACATTTATTAGTCAGATATATGGAAACTATAAGTCAATCAACAACAACTGCTGAGATCCTAAATAATACAGCAGCTTGTACTATGAATGAAAGGAAAGATATAATCAAACAAATTTTTATTAAATGTGTTTATTAAAGACTGGTATTAAAAACAAAACACAGACACATATTAAGAGACATCAATCCTATGTTTCTTTAAATAAAGAACTTACCCATGGGCCAGGAGGAGCTGGTGATAATCTTAGCCCATACCATCAAACAATATAAAATTAATTATGAAGGCATGCATTAACCTACAAAGTCATTCAAGTTGTCAACTGTCAACTGAATCAGGACAAATGACAATGGGTTTAAAAAAAAAGACTAGCAAAAATACCAGTCCAAGCTGAGTATTCCTTATCTGGAATGCTTAGGACCAGAAGTATTTTGGATTGTGGGATAAGTACATTATTTACTTACCAATTATCCATCCCAGATCCGAAAACATTAACTCCGAAATGCTCCAAGAGCATTTCCTTTGAGAGTCATGTTGACACTCAGAAAGTTTGGGATTTTGGAGAATTTCTAGCTTTGGATTTCCAGATCAGGAATGCTCAACCTGTAATGTATCTTCCTTCCTACGAATCTACTGTAGAAAACCACAGTTGTTTGCCACTTTAGCATTCGACTTATTCTAGCAAAATCCTACTATTCATTTGGTAATCCATCCTTTCCCTAATCTCAGTCCATGTGGTTGGGTTAGAGCTCCAACTCCAATATCAGGTGTGAAATGTGCAACCCCAGGTCTACACCAATCAGCCCTATATTTCTCTAGTCACAAAATTGGGCTTGAGGGAAAAAAGTATATGTTCAATCAGGAGAAATCCCAAAACTGTCAGAAGAGACAGGAGAAAGACTGCAGCCATTTTGCCATCAAATGGAAAGAATGGAGCTGACACTGTAGGAAGTAGCTACAAGATGAAAAGATAAAAATCAAGTCCTGATGACATCAACTGACCCTTGATCAAGCTTTTTCTGAAGCTCTTTTTACTTAAGCCACTTCAAGTTGAATTTTCCATCTCTCACAACTGAAATAATCCGTGTGTGTGTGTGTGTGTGTGTGTGTGTGTGTGTGTGTGTGTGTGTGTGTGTATGAGGCTAATTAAGACTTTGGAAGTAAAAGAAATTTTTTTCTATTTTCCATGTCTTCTGTCACTCATCTTCTACCTGAAAATCAAATTTTACCACCAAAGTGCAACTCCATTGATCCTAAAAACTCTACCACTGCTCTCTAAAGAAACGTACAGTAATCACAGCTTCATGCTAGGTCATCTGGCTTTACTAAGGTGATCGTGTTCCATATACAGACACAGAGCTATTATAATCTTCACCTGTTACCACAAAGAATTTTTTTGTTTGTTTATCCATATTGAACTTTCATGAGGCAAACAAAAGCAACTTGTGAAGATTTAACAATGGTGAAAATGGCTCAAATAAGTAACCTGAGAATAGCAAGTCATATGAAAAGGTTTTAGTTTACATTAACAAATGTTTGTTTGATATGTAGGACTGATTTCAGTCAAAGCTGTTTAAACAAAACAAAATAAAACAAAAAAGGAATGCAGGCAATATTAAAACAATAGTTGCTAAACCTTATCTTTGGTATTAAAAGACAATGGGTAGACTTAAACTTGAGTACTTTGAAAAGAAAATGAATACAAGTGTAGTTCAACTTCTAAAAAGATACAGGTTTTACAACATATTTATTACAAGAAAAATAAGTTCTTTTTAATGAATTTCACATGAAATTTCTTCACACTTACAGGAAAAGCCTAACAGCACAGCATCAAACCCTAAGTCAGGGAGAGTTGAAAAGGTTCTAAAAGGTTTCCCAATCTTTGACTGGTTATTTCCATTGAAGACGACAAAAGGTATATACCTTGATGACCACAGTAACCCAGGAAATAAATTATCTTATGTAAACAGTTCACCTAACCTATTAGGGTACACTAGAATCTGAATTTCAGTAAATTAAAACTCAGAAGCAAGGAGAAGGACATATCTGGGGACTACTGAACAATAGGGTAAAGAAAGAGCCCTGTACATTTATAAGTAATGTCTTCATCTTCTACTTCAGATGTCCAACTATATGTGTATGTATACGTGTGTGTGTGTGTGTGTGTGTGTGTGTGTGTGTGTGTGTGTGTATTTCTTTTCTTTTCAAGGGCCAGGGTCTCACTCTGTTGCCCAGGCTGGAGTGCAGTAGTGCAATCACAGCTCACTGCAACCTCGAACTCCTGGGTTCAAGTGATCCTCCTGCTTCAGTCTCCCAAGTAGCTGGGACTACAGAGTATGCCACCATATCAGCTAATTTTTTTTTTTTAATTTTACTTTAAGAGATAAGGTCTCACATGTTGCCCAGGCTGGTCTTGAACTCCTGGCCTCAAGTGATCCTCACACTCAGCCTCCCAAAGTGCTAGGATTATAGCCATGAGCTACTACACTCAGCCCTTAACTATCTTTTGAGGCAGATAGTGTCATGGTTAAGAATAAGGGCTCTGGAATCGGTTCAAAAGTGGGCTCCACTACAAAGCAGCCGTGTCATCTGTGAGGTAGGGATAATTGCATAATCACCACATGGGTTTGTGGTGAGGATTACACAGGTTAATAATGAACTGTCTGCTACATGTCATGCACTTGCTAGCTACAAATAATACAATCTGAACAAGACCACAAGGCCTCAAACTTACTGTCTCCATGCATCTCACAATCTTATAAAATTCTTGAAGCAGGAATGGTTTTAATGTCCATGCCAACTTACACCCCTCCCTTTCCACTAATGTCAGTCAGAAAAGTTCAACATTGAGGATTTACTCCCTGCAGAGTTTAAGTATTGCCCATTTGACAAAATCAAATCCACTGGCCTGCATTTTATTCAACTCTATGACTTGACTTTTTCATTTTAATGTTGGAGATTAAAAAAATTATAGAATTTTAATCATATGTTACCCTCATCAGTTTCCCCACTGCCAGGAGAAGTAGTGGCTCTTTTCTTTAAATTAATTAAGAAAGCAAAAAATGTTTCCAGCTGCTTAATTCACAGTTTGAATTAAAAATAATTTTTTCTCCTCTAACCTCTGGGGATTAGGGAAAGTTACAGCATGGACATTACACAAAAACCAAAGGGTCAGGACTCAGAGTACAGTGGAAGCCATATTACTTTGGGGTTACAAAAAAAATCAAAGCCTAACCATACTGACTGACTGATAAAGCATAACCATGACAGGAGTAGGGTCTTCCTCCTTTCTCCAGAGTCGTAGCCCCTTCAGGGAGGTTCAAAGCTAACACAGCAGAAATAAGAGAAAAGCAAACACTGACATGAGGCCAAGGAACATTCCATGGGTAGCTCCACTCCCTGTATACATGAAGAGCAGGGAGACAACCCGCTGGAGCTCTCAGGTTCTCTCTGAGTCTTCATGATGCTTACAAACTAAACTTCCTGATTTTGAACATGCTTTTGATGAAAATTCACTATTATCCAATCTTTTGGACAATTACAATACAAAAGGAACTAATATCCACAGGCATCCAAAGGCACACTGTCAGTCTAAAGGTTCTGTAGGAACTTGGAGGCCCTTCTGGACCTTCAGAGAAAAATGAAAACCCATTCACAATAGTTTTAGGTTCATAGCTGTGACTCAAAAAACCATCTCTGGAACCCTCTTACCTGCACCTGACTTCTCCATGAAATAGCAAAATAGAGATTATTGAGAAAAACTTTTTCCCAGAAAAACCTAAAAAAAAAAGTTTGGAGGAGAGGAAGAAACAGAATCCACCCACCTATCTGAACCTCAGTCACTGGGCACGTAGGCAATGGAAAACAAAGCCTAATAAGACTTCAAAATCATATATTTCTTAGCTACTAAGATTATTCCACAATCTTCACCGCTCCTATGGGCAGGCAAATTTCACCTACTTTTCTTCTTGCTGAGTTTTTAGGCTCTTCATTTGGTCCCAAGTCAGCCACGTAGTTCCCTCTTGAGATGTGTCAACATGTTCCTTGGGGTTAATGTCTCACTATAATAACTGAAATAAGTTACTTCACTGAGAAATTAGACCAGGGAGAGATGCTAAGGCTTTATCTAGAAAGAGAGGTCCTACAAAGCCTCTTTCACAGCAGCTATAAGGAAGGTGCTGGTCTGATCAGAAGAAAATGAGAACCAAACAATGCTATCAAGCATTATGGTATTCTTCCAGGGGACAAGTACTAGGAGAAAAGACTGAATTTCATATTTTACTACTTTTAAGAAGGAAAAGATATCATTGAAAAACCTAGAGGAAGATTCTGCTTATAACTGAACGAACATCATTCCTACATATCTTAAACTGGATTAAAAATTTTCTAAAACGTACTCCCAAAAAATATGTCCAAAGTTCCCAAATTGCTTAGTTAGAACGCATCTTAGACAAGGAAAACAAACCACTCCTAAACCCACAGAGAATGAAAGTTTTCAGCGTGTAATAGCAAGGCCATACTGTAATTAGTCCAGCAAAACATGGCTTCCTCAAAACATGGCTTTGAGGAAAGAGAAAAGCAGCAAGAAAGTGGTAGGACTATTATGGACATCTGTGTTTTCATTTAACAACAGAACAAAACAGAGAGAAAACATGCAAGCACTCGATCCTAGGCCAACTTGTACAGCAAAAGAACAATTTCTGACAATATGCCCTGACATATGGAATTAATTCTTAAAGAGATGAACTTGAAGGATTAAAGATTGAGGGGATGGAGAAGACCGGCCCACACGCTGTTTAGATTCACAATCCCCAGCTTGCCTCAAGAGGCTAAGGTTTCTGATACAGTACATCTCAGCCCCATCTCCCTAACATATACAATGTTAAAATCGGCCAGTCACTTTTTGAAGCAGATAGGTTTATATGACAATAAACAACTAAATAAACAGCACAATCTTACAGACTTCCCCTGTCTACTGACAATAACAAAACATCAAAGTCAGTCACAGAAAATCAGAAAGGACAGGGAGATGAAATAGCCCATGTACATGTTAAAGAAAGCACCCACCCTACTAGCCTGACTCCTATAAGAGGGTTTTAGAGAAGGAAATAATGAAATTTCCAGATCAGAATCTCTATACTACAAATATGGAGAAAGACATAATTTTGCTCACAGGTCTGGTTCAATGAGGCAATCATTCATTTATGAATGCCTATCTTTCCTGGAATTCTAGCTATAAGCAATGTCTCCAGCAGGGACTAATGGGAGAGAAAGTGGGACACACATCAATATCAGGCACAGGGAAGAAAGTCAGACTTTAGCTTAGCATTAGAAGTGGCGACTATTTCCCTGAAAGGCAGAACTTCTTTACCTTTTGGCTCTGGAGATTATGACAATGTTTCACAATGTGAAATAGCTCACAAGATATTAAATATCTTTTAAAGACAGTAAAAAGATATTAATATTATATTTCACTGTGGGAGCAGATACTGTTTGTCCTTTGCTCAAAACCCTTCAGAGGCTCTCCTCAGAGTAAAAAGGAAAAGTCCTTGTCCTTACCGGGATTTCCAAGGACCTATTCAATCTGCTGCAACCCCATCTCCAGGTACTATGTGTTACCTCTTCTCCTACAACTAGCAGCCATAACTTTACTCCCTCCACTCAGACAATACTGTCCCTGGTATCCACGAACACCAGGCATTCTTCCACTATACAGTCTTTGCAGTGGTAGTTCCTTCAACCCACAATGCTCTTCTCCAGATGTCCACATGGCTCAATCTCTCAAGTCCTACAATTCTCTTCTCAAAGGACATATTCTCAATAGAAATGCTCTCTAGTTCTCTCAATTTCCATTACCCTTGCTCTGTTTGGTTGGTTTTTTCTGTAGCACTTATCAACTTCTAACATACTGTGTAACTTATCAATGTATTATATTTATCATTTATCTTCATTTCCCTGTACTAGAATGTCTACTTTATTTATCAATATATCCTAAAGCATCCAGAAAAGTACCTGGCCTTGTTCAGTAATAAATGACTGAAAGGATGAATGAAAACATTTTTGTATTCCAAATCTCTACCAATCCTTATGATTATATCAAAGAGAAAGTCTCAGAGTGGTGATGATCTTCAATAGTTCTTTACTACCTGTTGGTCTCTCTCTTTTTTCTTTTAATGGTTTTATTTTTTAGGTATAATTTACCAGCCATAAAATTCACACGTTGTAATTAAACGTAGAATTCAGGGACTTTTTAGAAAATTTATGAAGTTGTACAACCATTACCATGAATATCTCTTAACGTGAAAAAAGGAGACCAAAGCTCAGAGCCTCCTCCAGACAAGAACATCTGCTAGCACGTAATAACATTGCTCTGTTTTCATTGCACATATTTTTCAGTATACTTTTTGTTTTTGCTAGTGACACTGGACTTTCACTTAAAGTGGCAATATAAAGCTTCCTTTTTGAAGAAATTTATATATGCAAAAAATATGTTGATTTGAAGAAAAATATTAAATAACTAACAATGTATGAAGTCCGAAGATACAGCAAATATTGAGGATATATTAGGCAAATATTGAGAGTAAGTTTGTGAAACATGGACTCATAGGATACAGATCTGCTGGTCTCAGACTGCAAAATTGCAACCAATTTCGTAAATGAAAGGCAAGGCATTAACAACGGCTCCTAGAGTTTACCCTCAATTCCCATCAGTCTTTGGTGGGAGACTGTTCTTCATGAGTCTCTTGTGTTTCTGCATGTCTTGTGAGCAAGCACTGACTACCCTGCGTTTCAGACTCTCATTGCAAGCATGTTTATACAACGAACAGCCTCGGTAAATACGATAGTCTCTCCCTTCAGAACTAGGGGAAGGTTTGTGTATAAACTTAGAAGATAAAGACAGCCTTGACCTGGAACCAAGAATAGGCATGCTTACTACTCATTTTTTAAAGATTCAGGTTCCTATAGCTCAAAAAGATTCAAAGTTCCTCTCCTATAATGCAACCCCTCAACGTGTGCATGTTATCTGGCCTACTTTGCATCATCCTATAGAAATAGAGGTTTGGAGAATGTTATTTGTCTGAAGATCATGTCCCTCCAAAATTCTTATGTTGAAACATGCAAGGTAATGGTATAAACATGAAAGGTAATGGTATTCAGAGGAGGGCTGTCCTCATGAATAACTTAGTATCCTTATAAAAGAAGCCTGAGGAGGCTTGTTTGTCCCTGGCACCACATAAGGACACAGTGAAAAGGCATCATCATCCATGAATCAGGATACGAGCCTTTACCAGACACCAAACTTGCTGGCCCTGATCTTGGTCTCCTCAGCCTCCAGAACTGTGAACAAAATTTCTGTTGTTTAGAAGCTACTCAATCTGTGGTCTTTTGTTTAACAGCCTGAATGAACTAAGACAAAGAACTGATATAAAAATGCTAATATGTTGGCTATTTCTATTGTTGTAAGTAATAACCTGTCCTTCACCTCTCCCCTAGGAGTCTCATGTCTTATCCAATAAGAAACTATGGCTAATTAATGTGTTAGCCTGCAAAGTAGGATACAATCTCAGAACCTTCACAATTCTTGAAAGTCCTCACCTCATTGTGAATTTCTTCTCCTTGTTTCAAAACTGCAGGCTCAAAGGACTTCAAAGAGACATCACCATTGTCCACGTTGTCGTGGACATTCTGCAGAGCCAACTGGCAGCGTTGCAAGATATAATCCAAGGTTCCTGTTGAGCACTGTCGAGACAGAATCAGTAATCAAGAAGATGAGCAAATTCCAAGCTCACCCTGCCACTTTTCCTAGGACTGTTCACATTTGCCCCTTTCTGTGCGTTCACCTTTTGCCCCTACAGCTCCGCCTATACTTCTTAACTCAAGAATTAGTACAGCGGCCTGCTCTGGGCTCTGTACTGCTAGTTTGGCCTCACTTGGGTCACTCAGCCTGCTGGTTTTCTTTTATTATATGGCCCTCATACTCTAACTAAACAGTAGGCTCTCTAAAGCTAAGCCCTATTTATATATATATTTTCTACATATACTACAGCATCTAGAACTGAGTCCTTAATGTGGAAGAAATACAATAATTATTGGATGAATAACTAGTAAACCAAGAAGTGAAGACACTGACTTTTAATCTCAAGTGCCTCAAGTCTAACAATGGGAAAAAAGGTAACCAGACTGCAGAAATGGTTCAAAACCACACTAAATAAAACAGTAATGATGAGGGGAGGGGTGGTTAACTTATAAACACAAGGCAAACAACTCATTTCCCTTTACTGGGAAAGCATTCACTAGTCAGCTGCAGACCATGGCAGAAAAGATTCTTCAAATAATAGAGACTATGTGGCTCATGCCCTCAAGGCAAATTCAAAGGCATATCTGAGTACCTGGGCATTCAGCAAGGACACAGAAAACTAGTTCATCTCTCTCTGAGTCTGTGGGAGCAAAACAGAGGTCAAATGGACAAACTCTTTTTTTAAAATGATCATATGTCAGAAAAGAAGAGGATGCAGATGGAGTATGCATCCGCTTGTTTTGATAATGAGATGATTTCCTAGAATAATAAAAAGGCTATAAATATCCTTTGGATCCAACAAGGGAAATGTATCCCTAAAATATTTTTATTTTAATATTTATAATTTAAACTGAGCCCTTGGAAATAACCTTGGGGACTAATCCTCTGGTATAAAAATTGTTTGCACGTTTACAGCCATTTTATACAATGTGACATCAACAAGTCTGGGAAAAACAAAGTTTTTGTGCCAAAAAAACAGAAGCTTAACCAATATGTATTTTAATGTAAAGATCCCAGAGTGCTGGCAGCATATGGGCAGGCTGCTCCAATATGCAGGGGAAAAACAAAAACAACAAAAAGAACGGAGGTGAATTACTACCCACTAGTGTCCCATAATTATCTCTATATCATCTTAAATTTACATTCTATCTAGAAACTTCTCCTACTGGCACCTTTACTTTCCCAAGTATAGAGTGAGCTATATAAGAGGTAAATTGTCGTTTATTATAGCTAAATATTGGAAACAAGTTTCCCAACAATAGGAAATCAGTTAAATGGACTTCAGTGTAACCATATATGCAGCCAAAAAAAAACAGAGAAAGAGGATGGAATATTTTTTTCTGGTATATAGTGTTTTATTTGATGTAAAGAACCTATGATCAGGTCTAATTTGAAGTTTGTGGGTTTTTTAATTTTTTTGTAATAGCTTGGCTATTCTTTTTTATTCTAGTCATATAGTGGGTGTGAAGTGGCATCTTATTGTGGTTTCCATTTCCATTTTCCTAATGACTAGTTGTGCATCATTACTGAGACATAATTCACACATAAAATTCAACCATTGGAAACATACAATTCAATGTTGTGTAATATATCTGCAGTGTTGTGTAACCATCACTACAATTAATTTTAGAACATTTTCATGACCCTGAAAAGAAACCCTGTGTCATTTAGCAATCATTCCCTCCCATTTTCACCAACATTTCCACCAACATTTCCAACCCTAGGCAACCACAAATCTAATTACTATGTCCACAGATAGGCCTATTCTGGACATCTTACATAAACGAAACCATACAATATGTGAGTTGTTGTGACTGGTTTCTTCAATTTAGTATGTTTGCAAGATTCATCCATGTAGTGTACCTTGTATCATTACTTCATTTCCTTTTAATGTCAATTAATATTCAATTATATGAATACACCATATTTTGTTTAAACATCATTAAGTGATAAGCCTTTGGGTTGCTTCCACTTTTAAGTTATTATGAGCATTCATGTATAAGTTTTCATTACTCGTGGGTATATGCCTAGGCACGGAATTGCTGTATTACAGGGTGACTTTGTATTTAACCTTGTGAAAAAGTACAAAACTGTTTCCCAAAGTAGCTGTACCTTACATTCCCTGCAGCAGTGCACAAAGGTTCCACTTTCTGCACATCTTCACCAATATTTGTTACTGTCCTTTTTTATTCTAGTCATTCCAGTGGGTGTGAAGTAGCATCTTACTGTGGTTTCCATTTGCATTACCCTAATGACTAATAATGTTGAGTACTTTTCATGTGCATATTGGTCATTTGTGTACCTTCTTTAGACACATGCTAAGTCAGATCCATTGCCATTTTAAATTGGATTATTTCTGCTAAATTATTCATTTGTAAGAATTCTTTGAATATTCTATAGACAATTACTTTATGAGACATGATTTGCAAATATTTTCTCCCATTCTGTGGGTTGTCCATTTTTTTATGGTATTCTTTGAAGTACAAAAGTTTTTAACTTTGATGGAGTCCAACTTATCTATTTTTTCCTTTGATTGTTTGTGCTTTTGGTGTCTTGTCTAAAGAGTCATTACTTACTCCAAGATAAAAATTACATATTGATAAATCATTATCACCAAGTTTTACTGAAACATAACAAAAGTACAGAATAGTTTATGAAGTAGGCTATCATTTCTATTAAAATATCTTTTAAATTACATATATTATATATGTATTCGCTTACATATTAAATATTACCAAAAGAATAGCAAAAGTTTAATAACATTGGTTGCCGCTGAGAAAGGGTGCTGATCGGTTTAAGAAGAAACTTTAATTGTATACTCCTAAGAATTTCATAAAATTTTAACCATTGAGTAACACCTATTCAAAAAAGAACTATGCATAAAATTTAAATTTAGAAAAAGAAACTCTGTATTGAATCTCAAGAACATTCTGTCACAACCGGAAAAAACTAAAATCAAATAAAGGTTAAGAGCCATCAGACATAATCTAGTCATGTTCAACCAAAAAACAGAATAAATTTCTTCTCTGATTAATTAAAACAAATTTCAGTACATCATTTCCTTAACACAATGTGTTTCCTACACATTGTGAATAGGCAGAAAATAGCAAATCATTTTGTTTGATGCAGATAAGATATGTAATGTTAACACTAGATGAAAAGGGGGCATCTGTAGAATTAGTAAGGACTATAACAATGCATGACTTTCTTTCCCTCTTCTATTAAACAATAATGTAACTTCATTGTGGGAGAAAAAAATCCTTTTGCTTCTATTACTATTGAAAACAAGAATATAAGATGAAATAAAAGTAATTCAAATAAGATAAAAACATAATTCTACCACCTTAACCTATTTTTATTTTTTTGAGTTGGGGTCTCACTCTGTCACCCAGACTGAAGTGCAGTAGCATGATCACCTCCTAGGCTCAGGTGATCCTTCCACCTCAGCCTTCTGCGTAGCTGGGACTACAGGCACACGCCACCATGTCTGACTAATGTTTTTATCTTTTGTGGAGACAAAGTCTCACTATGTTGCCTAGGCTGATCTCAAACCCCTACGTTCAAACAATCCTCTCACCTTGGCCTCCCAAAGTGCTGGGATTACAGGTAGGAACCACCGAACCCTGTTAAGTATTTTTATTTTTTTGCTGCACATGATTCTTTGCCTATATACAGTTGAAATCAGTATTTCCATATCAATGTATATAGTGTTTTTACTGTACATAAATATCCAAAATAACCAGTTTGATGCTTGCTAGTTAAAATGATATTTAATAATCTAATTAACTTATCAGAAAGCTATAAAGGCATTCAGGTTCTGCCCAACTTTTCACTATTACTGATAATGCTAGATAAACATCTTTCTGTACATAGTTTTATTTCATTATTTCCTGGGCTTGATTTCTAAAAATAGTGTTTGTGATCAAAGATTTGAATATTTTTATGGTACTTTATACATATTCCCACATAGAGTTCTAAAAGTAGACCAATTAGGAAAAACTACCAGATGCATATGAATTAGATGACTTTCACTATAACATAGCCAGCACTGAATAATCTTATTTTTTACTTTTGGTAGAAATAGAAGGTGATCTAAAACAGTAATTTTTTAGAAAAGACTACTTTTAATTTTAAGATTATTTTTCAGGCTTATTTACACATGATCATCTGTAACATAGCAAACTTTCTTAAAAGGTCAAAAAATATATTTTAGGTTTGCAGGCCACAAGGTCTATCTTGCAACCACTCAACTCTGTCACTGTAACTCTAAAGCAGTCATTAACAATATGTAAGCAAGTGGCTGTGTTCCAATAAAACTTTATTTAAAAAACAAAGACAATAGTTTGTCTCTATAATATAGAAAGCAGTATTATAACCACATCATTCACATTATATAATTCATAAAATATCATTTAGCTTGATCTGGATCACAGAAAATACCAAAATCTTAGATTTGGGGTAACGTTTTTCTCCCCAAAGAATCACCGTAAACCAGGCTCGGTGGCTCAGCCTGTAATCCCACATTTTGGGAGGCTGAGGTGAATGGACTGCCTGACCCCGCAGGTTCGAGACCCGCCTGGGCAACTTGGTGAGACCACATCTCTACAATAAATCAAAAATTAGCCGGCCATGGTAGAGCGCGCCTGTAGTTCCAGCTACTTGGAAGGCTGAGGCGGAAGGATCGCCAGAGTCCAGCAAGTCGAGGCTGCAGTGGCGGGAGCAGCCACTGCACTCCAGTCTGGGTGACAGAGTGAGACTCCAACTCAAAAAAAAAAAAGAATCACCATAATACTCATCTCTTTATTTAATTAGTGCTCAAAATTTGGCCTAAAAATTAGAAGATATAAACACAATTATGACTAATATGAGAAAGCAGCCTCAAGTTATTTTAAAAGCGATGCTGCTCTAATAAAAGTATGAAATTGACCCACACGAAAAAAAGGAAAAAAGGGCTAGGAAATGCTTCTCATTGGTACTTCAAACGGCTCCTTTTGGGAACCTTTATCGTGGTCAAAGGGGCAAGAAGTTTCCTGCACTCTCTCATGTTTTACTCCTGTATTTCCATTTGCCTGCTAGGCGTCTCCACTTGGCAACTCCAACCCAGCCTGAGCTATCTACTGTCTTCCCCTAATGTCTCAGATCCTCTGTTTCTACAAATAGTATGTCATCCCTGAATCACTCAGACTTGAAACTCAAGAGACAGCCTTGAGTCTGGCACAAGAAAAGCGCCCCTTAAAGAGTTAGTTCATTCATTCAGTTAGTATGCTCCTCTTTCCATTGCATTAAGTCCGTTGCCAAGTCTCACGCTGTTTCCTACATTAATCATGCAAATTTCTTCCTTTTTCTTTTTGACACTACCTTAGTTCAGACACTGATAGCTATAAGTGATATCTCTATCATTTACATCTTCCTAAAGTTATCTCCAGTATGTCACTACCAAGATAAACAGTAATCAGTAACCCACAACTGCCAACCAACTTAAGTTAAAACATCTAATCTGATATCCAAGATCTTTCACAATCAGATCCCATGCAGGAATCAGCCTTATCTGTCAACATTCCTTTTGGCACCCTGGGATCCAGAGTACAGCCACTCAATATTCCCCGAGCACCCCCATCCCACTCCAATCACAAGATTCCCACCTGTCTAAAATGTGCTAAAATCCCCTAATCCCTACACATTCATTCCCTACATTTTACCTGTCCTGAAAGGATACTTCAGACTTCACCTCACCCATGAAACCTTATGCTGTTTGCCACTTTCTGTTCTGTACTATACCTACTCTTAGACTGTAAGCAACTTGAAGACATTCAACATGTCAACCATTCCTGTTCACAAGTGCCCAAAGGAATACCTTGAGCACCAAAAAGTTGAACAAAAGTTTGAAGAATGAATGAAGAAACTTAAATCCCTTCCTTCTGAATGGCAGCTTTCAATTAATAGCAATTCTCATAGTCAAGATTCACAGGTAATTTAATTCTCTTTCTTTATTTTGTATAGCTTAGTGTATAAATAGAGACAGAATAATCTTCCACGGAGCTTTAGCTCTTCCTATCATCTATTAGTTTTTCACCAGAATTAAATAAAAAGATAGTAGCAGGAGGAGGAGGAGTAATTTAGCAATAGTAAGTAGTGGCTAACAATCTTTGTTTACCAATAACTGTTCTAAAAGACCTGCAAGCATTAACTAATTTAATCCTCATAAGAATCCTATGAATTAGGTACAATCGTCATCCCCAGCAAACATTTTCCCAAATTTTTAATTAATCTTTTTGCACCAGTCCTCTGCATACAGCATTAACGAGCTTGTCTACGTTTTCAGGTTAAGGAAAGATGTAGGAAGGACACACTCGAGTAGCCACATACTCAAGTGAACCACAAGAACAGGATTTGTGGGAGGGTTACAGCTAGAAAGGTAGACGCCTACAACCGGGGCAGTGAAATCTCTGTCTACAATACAAGGCATATATAAGGTGCTCTATAAATGCTTGCCTCTTCTTCCTTTCCTCTTTTCCTTCCTCCCCTCCTTCCCATCAGAACTTCTTTTAGGTCTCAAAGATATTGTTTCTGTGTTTATTTGTTTAAAATGTATCTCTCCAACTAAAACATAAGTTCAAAAAAGGAAGTAGACATAATGGTCACGTTGATGGCTCTATCTCCGAGGGCATCAACTGGACATATAACAGGCACCGAAACATTTGCATGATTAAGCAAATGGAAAAGAAAAGAAAGAGAGGAAGGAATACTTGATGGGCTTGCTAACATTTTGACTTAGTCACTCATTCCTCTCTACCACATATTCATCTGACCAGTCCACTAGTAAAGCTTCTTAATTACCAAAAGACACCAAACTGCATGACAGACTCACAATCTCATGCCTGAAAAGGTCTTGTGCTTGTGTTTCCCTTCCACTTGGTTGTATCTCTTCTGCCCAATTTTCTCACACTGTCCCCTGTGGTTCCATTGAAAAGTCAAGTTTGGGTAAGAGGCCAAAGTGTAATCCTTTGCATGAGTATTCCCCTGCTCTCTGAAACCCTTCTTAACTGAGCAACTGGGATTCTATGATGGCTAATATGATTTTTTCTCATTTGTTAATTTTTCATTCTGAACTAGTCTGATCAGCTGACCATCAGCCATTACAAGTGGTGGCAAAATTTAGCAATAAAGTCGAGGTTATGAACACAACTGGGAAGCTCAGAAATTCCTTGGCACCACTGTAACTTTCTCCTTAATTTACATTCACATGCCCAGAAGTCTGACCAAAGTTAAGGGAAATATAAACTCTCAACCATATGAACCCAGCCACAGCTAACACATGCACAAGCACATGAATCTACCCCATTTCCTTCTGGCTATCTCCTGCCCCTGACCTTGACAGATACAACCCCCTAAATAAATCTTTAACTATCAACACTTGCCAGTGGCATTTTGCTTCTCCAAGAAACATAACCCCAAAAAGCAAAACATACTTATCCCATGCTGTGAATACACTTTTTAAAACTGTATCCAACACAACCCAAAGCTAAAAAAGCAAGTAAACAGAGACTAAAGTCAAGTTAGATGGAAGCAATTTTCCCATCAAATACTCCTCTAAAGCTCTATGATAAATTGCTCATTGCTCATTCAACCACTTCTGTCACATACAATTAGGCGTGAATCACATTTTTATTTACTCTTACCTCTGCTACTCGATGGGTAGAACTAAACCGAGGTTGTGAACCAGCCAAAACACAGTGTTGGTGGGTGGCATTTAGATCATCTACAGGAAAAATATCAAAAATTTTAAAACCACATTTATTAGTCAGTATATACTATTTAACTAAAATACAAAGTAAACAGTAAACATATACAAAGTAAACATTTAAGAAATGACAATAACCAAGGAATTAACACTTACTTTGTATTCTTTAAACAGTTTCTTATAAGTAGGATGACTAAACATGTGTGTGTGTGTATACACACACACATACATATATACATAAACACATAGACCATGACACTTTGAAGAGTGGAAGGGGATAGTATTAATAATTATTCCAGAACAACAGGTATAAACTAGGATTGTCCTCAGCAAACAGGATATACGGTCACTCTACTTATGTGTGGTCTTATAATACCCACCCACTACAAAGTTCACTATTTATGAATTGAGCTTCTTTCTCTTTCTCATGACATATCTATGTCTATCCATGTTTTTAGAATAAATCAGAATTATTTCATATCATTTGGAGTTGAACACCTTTCATTTGAAAATCTGCTTCTTTGTCTCCATAATCAAAGTATCAATTTTGCCCTAACAATTTTCCAGGCAACAAACCAACCAACTCAGCATGTTGCATGTTTGGCTCTCAGAACAGAATTGAACTCTATGGATTCACAACCCAAGAACGGAGTAGGTGGCAAACTCATTGGTTGAAGAATATTCCTTAAATATTCTTCACAAGCAGTAGGAGAAAAATCAATTGCCAAGCTGTTGCGTATCCTAAGAAATGATACTACAAATCAGGCACACACACACACACACACACACACAAAATTGGAATAAAGACTTTTCAGAAAAAATCTGAAAGAATTTATATCCAGTAAACTTAAACTATAAGAACTGTTATAAAATTCTTCAGGCAAAACATAATAATAATATGAGAAGGAATTTGGATCTGCCCAAGGGAATGAAAAGTAACATAAATAATAAATATCATGAGAAGATAAATGACTGTTTAAAGCCAAAATAATAACATATCATGAGATTTATAACATATGCAGAAGTAAAATGCATGAAAGTAGCACAAAGAAAGAGGGGAAGTCATGTAAAACTTGAAGTTGCATTATTCTAAGTTAAAGATGTATATTATAAACCCGAGAGCAATGATGCTCAATCAGACATAATTTTGTCATCCCCCACTCTGGAGAGACAGACAGGATGGAAACAGAGAATACCAATTTACCAGAGTAGAAATCAAGAAGCAGAAACGTCTATGGAAAACAATAACAGTGCAGAAAAACCTGGACCGTATTAACGAATTTCTGGAGATTCAATGTGGACAACATTGAGTTAAAAAGTCCAAGGGACACAGTCTTAGGGAACTCCCACACTTTTGTGAGTTTTATCTCTAGAAGATCTACCAGGTTCTCAAAGTGAAAAATTCAAGAAAAATCTCCTCATGATTCCAGCAGGAAGAGAAAAACAGCCACTTTAATATATATCACAACAGTCTGTTCTTAATTAGGCCTACCCTAAAGAAAAACAATTTTAGCAAAGCCTAACCTATTGAGGTTTATCAGTGCGCAACTGACCCATGGGAGGGAAAATACCCAATTTTGCCCAGCTCTAGCTTTCTACATGGGAGAAAGAAAATACCCAACTTCTGCTCCTTTTACCCTTCCAAGCGGAGTTAGGAAAATATATAACTCCAGTCCCTGCTAGTCATCCTATCCCAACAAAGAATGAGGAAAAAAAAATTGAAAAGTACTTGCAAAGTTCACAATTAAGGGTATACAATCACTATAAGACTGAGCCCTAATTATTAGATTATAGAAGACTTCCCCTCCCAACATACTCAGCCTCCACATTACTCTAGATGTTGATTTATTGCCACATATCATGCCTGCCTATCAAGAAAAAAGTACAGAGCATTCTAAAATGAAAAAATTAAAAATTAAAACCGACAGTCTGAAAAACTGAGCAAAAATCGGCAACAGAATCAGATATTGCAGGATGTTAGAATTAGCAAACGAAACATTTTTAAAAACTAAGATTATGAGAGAAGCGGCAAGATGGTGACGGTGAAAGCCGGACTCGGAAGCCCTCTGCAAAGGAGCTCTGCAGTGGGTCTCTGACTTTTGCCCCGGGGGGCTGTGGACCCGAAAATTGCAGCCTGATCTTCATACGGAGCTCGGCTGTTGCCACCGCTGGGACATTGCAACAGACTGGACAGTCACTACGGCGCAAATGGTGTCGCCGCCGCCGCCACTGCTCCCGCAGCCTCTCCCCCTGCCACCGCTGCCACCGCCACCACGGCCTCCGTGACGGCCATAGCACATCACACCACCCGGGCCCGAGGTGATCCACATCAAACCCCTTCAGGGAAGATCTGCCGGGATCACTGCCACCTCTCCTGCAACCAAGACTGTCCTGCCTGCCCACCATAAGGCTCCTGTTGCCTGCCCCGAGATAGGCAGCCATCTTGTTCCTGTCTGGTCCCACCCGCTCTGGGGTGAGCAGCTGAGATAGCACCACCTGCTGGCGATTCAAGGTAACAACACCAAAACGGGAGAAACAAGCTTCATAAAGACATAGACCAGAGTGCTGAACGGAGGGTAATCTGAAATGTCCTTCACAGGAGATCAGGGGCAACTAACGCTAACTGCAAACTAATTTACCAGCGTGAAAAGAAAACTAGAAATCAGACCTGAAAGAACATTGGACTTAAACAAAATGTCTCAGAGCATGCTTCATTGATTCTGTTAGTTTAATGACTTAATTCTATTCCTACTGTATCGTTCCCATTTTTCTTTTTTCCTTTTCCTTTTCTTCTCTTTTCTTCTCTCTGTAAACCATAGCTTTGTATAGAGGAACAGCACACTAACAAGGTGGTTAGTTAGCTTGTATGTTAGCATCACTATATGTTTTATTTTTTTTATTTTTTTGTTTTGTATGAGAGTTGGTTCATCTGTAGCTGTGGTCTATTGTTTTTATCTGTTTCAGTATGAGCCACTCTCTCTATTTGTTGGCACACTCGTTTGTTTCCCCCCGTACTCCTCTATCTCTCCACTCCCCTCTTCAACCCACTATCTGCTCCATTCTCTCCCCTCTGCCAACTACATATTATTTCAGGGAGTAAACCTACAGCCCCACTGCACGGACAGATTCCAGGGCAGTGGGAAGTGGGTTCCACATTATCCACACACCTGTCAGCGAATACCAGGACCTGCAAATAGATTTTGAATCACAGATCTCCCCTTAAGTACATCTCAAAACTGCAAAAAGGACCACCTCCAACCTACAGTGCAACTCCAGAATTGAACAAACTAAGAGGGCATACATAAAGAATAGGAGATTGAACAAACAGAAGTAAAAACAATCCCTTTACCCCTGAATGACAGAATTAAAGAAGACGGTGACGTGGAGGGAAGGAAAAAGTCGGGAGGGGGAAAAACTGCATAAATGAAGAAAAACCAAAAGAAGAATATAGGTCTCACACAGGCCCCTGGGAGATCAGACACTGAGAAAACAGATTCTGGAACACAAACAATGAAGAGCCCCCAGAATGACTGGTTACATGCAACAAACCCAGACATAAAGACATTCATGGAGAGAATTAAAAAATTGAGGAGAGAAAAGAGGAAAATAGGAAGGAGGTGATGTCAGAAATGACAGCAGTAAAGAATACTGTGATGCAAATGAACAACCGACTAATAAGCATGGAAAGCAGAATCAGCCAAGCAGAAGGAAGAATCTAAGAGCTCGAAGACCAAAACACAGAACTAACCCAAACTGCCAAAAGCATAGAAAAGAAGCTGAAAAAGACAGAACAAAACTTGCAAGAGATGAATGATCACTTCAAGAGACCAAACCTAAGAGTAATTGGGCTTCCTGAGGCAGAGAGAGAAACAGAAGCCACACTGGAACAAACATTTCATGAAATCATTCAAGAAAACTTCCCTCATCTCATTAAGGATGAAAAAATTCAAACACAAGAGATTCAGAGAACCCCTGCAATACAACAAATGAGAAGACCAACTCCCAGACACATAATATTTCGCCTAAACAAAGTAGCTATAAAAGGAAAAATCCTAAGGGCAGCAAGAGAAAAAGGCCAGACTACCTACCAGGGAAAATCAGTTAGAATAGCAGCAGATTTATCCACAGAAACCCTGCAGGCCAGGAGACCCTGGAGCCCTATCTTCAAAGTTCTAAAAGAGAAACAATTTCAACCAAGTATAACCTACCGAGGCAAACTAAGCTTCATTAGGGAGAATTGAAATCTTTTCCAGATATCCAGTCCCTAAGAACCTACACTGCCACCAGACCACCTCTACAAGAAACACTTAAGAAAGTACTGAACACAGAACAAAAAGGAAAAAGAACAAGAGCATTCATCACAAGAGTATAGGCAAAAGATTAAAAACACATGAACCAACTCCAAAACCCAAAGAAAGACAACAAACAAACAGGAACAACTCTGTAAGAACGTTATGACAGGGATCAACTCTTGCATTTCAATTATTAGCCTAAATGTGAATGGACTAAATGCACCACTGAAAAGACACAGAATGGCAAAATGGATAAAATATCATCAGGCAACAATCTGTTGCCTTCAAGAGACTCACCTCACTAGAAAGGACACCAACAGACTCAAAGTAAGAGGATGGGAAACAAACTTTCAGGCAAATGGAATACAAAAAAAAGGAGGAGTAGTGATCTTAATTTCAGACAAAATACCCTTCAAGCTATTAAAAATCAAAAAAGATACAGAAGGTCACTACATAATGATAAAAGGCTCAATCCATCAACAGGAAATATCTATCCTAAACATGTATCACCCAACATAGGGTGCATAAAGCAACTTCTTGGAAAACTAAAGAAAGATATCGACTCTAACACTATCATAACTGGGAACTTTAATACCCCACTCACAACCCTAGACAGATCATCAGGACAAAAAATCAGCAAGGAGATCCGGAACCTCAATGTGACTTTGGACCACATGGACTTAATTAATACCTACAGAAAACTCCATCCAAAGAACACAGAATACA